CAGAGAGATGAGGATGGGCACCTGTAGACACAGAGACAGAGAGATGAGGATGGGCACCTGAGGACACAGAGGCAAAGAGATGAGGATGGGCACCTGTGGACACAGAGATAGAAGGATGAGGATGGGCACCTGTGGACACAGAGACAGAGAGATGAGAATGGGCACCTGTGGACACAGAGACAGAGAGATGAGAATGGGCACCTGTGGACACAGAGACAGAAGGATGAGGATGGGCACCTGTAGACACAGAGACAGAGAGACGAGGATGAGCACCCGTGGACACAGAGACAGAAGGATGAAGAGATTTGAGAGGCACTGCCGTTCCACATTTGAAGTTTTCCCATATCATCTGAATTTTCAGACTGTATCTACATATTACTTTGATACAAAACATTTCTTTTAAAAACACTTCTAGACCAATCACATTTTCCTTCTACAATAAACCTGTTATCCTAGAAACTGATAGGAATTCAACAGCCATTGAAGACTCACTGCCTGTGAAGCACCATCCCAGGCCCCAGACTCAGAGGATTCAGGTGTATGACGTTATAGCCTAGTGCATATTAATGATGTAAGGCAGTTGGTAGGAAGGCAGCAACCACTTTCCCCTTTAGAACATCAGCTTTATGATGCGGGCCCTGGAACACCCCACCTCACTAATGTAGGTATTCTCAGGGTCCGTGCAGATTCAGCCCAAGGTAAGAAACACAAGCTTTCTGTTGCCAAAAAATATTAACTGTAAAATCAGAGTTGTGATAATCTCTTTCTGTAAGATCTCAGCAAGGAAAACAGAAGCCTCAGTCAGTGTATTTTCTTTTTGTACAATCAACTGGTAGTCATTCCAAAGAAAAAGCTATGCACAGCTTGCTTTCCCATGTAAGACATACAATGAGCAATGAGCTTCAGGAGTCAGTCCCTCATTTTATTAACTAAAACTATATTAGAGTTGGCCTCAACTATGAAGAGTTCCAATTACACCACAGTTTGGGAGGCAGGGTAAGAAAGCACACTGACCTTAATAACTGAGAATGAGGGAGGAGAAGGAGATGAGGCTTAATACAGTGATGAACTACATATTTAACATGAGGTTAAAAAAAAAAACATGGCCAGGTGGTGGTGGCGCACTCCTTTAATCCCAGCACTGGGGAGGCAGAGGCAGGCGGATCTCTGTGAGTTTGAGGCCAGCCTGGTCTACAGAGCAAGATTCAGGACAGGCACTAAAGCTACACAGAGAAACCCTGTCTCGAAAAATAAAAAAAATAAAAAATAAAAAAACAACTAAGCTTGTATCTAAGCGATTAAGCGAGAAATAAGCACTCAGGAAAAAACTTAAAACTCTGAAATGGGTCAGCAAAGGAATGCTATATTCTTTACTACATAGCAGTAATGAAAATTCATTACTGAGAAATATGGAATATCTAAAAGCCATCAGCTGAATATGAATCAGGATTTTAGTGGGTTCCATGAATTTTTAAAGGATATGAAGACACTGGCGTACTGAGTGTAATACTGGAGGCAAGCAACACTGGTTTATTATATTTACATCATACTGAAGTCTCTAGTTTAAATGCTTTTCGGCATTCTAAAACTTTTTCTTGAAAACTACTGAGATGAGGTATTGTTAACTGTCTTTCCAAGGATAAAAGTTATTAATTACAAAAATTAGGAATATTAAATTATAGTTAGGTTTTATATCATTACTCCAATACAACAGATCAGATGCTTTTTAAAATAAACTGAACATAGACTCATTTAGAAAGTTAGATTCCAACAAGCTTTATTTGCTATTCATGTTATTTTAAAAGATAGTATGTCTCAAGTATCATTAATTGGTATGTTTTTATGAAACTCTCCAGTTCTTTATTATTTGAAACTGGTCAGGGAAATATTGGAAGAACTGAACTATTTATCCCATTTCATTGGTATTTTAAGGACATCTTTTTGAAGGTTTGTTTTATGCAAAAAGTTTTTTTTTTAATCTATGTCAAAGCACTGACTTTTAAGAGATCTTTTTGTTTAAATTCTTTAGTTTCCACAACATACGAATGTGCTTAAAAACACTTCTCTTCATACCTCACCATGGGAAAATGACTGACGAACATACCCAGACATGCATACACTGAAAACTCTTGGCCATCACTTTCTTCTGCCTCTTGAAATATAAAATTGTACAGATGCATTTTTTGCTACCCAAGTAGTCAGTCAGGGAAGGGATGCGATTTGTTCAGCAAGGATTATCATCATAAATGGATTCACTGGATCATTAATCTGAGCCCCAAGATTTAATGCTTCAGATTGCCAATTGCACATTTGTATGTACATGTTAATGTGATGTATGCACATGAGCTTAAGTACACACTTATACATGTGTGGAGGCCAAGGTATATTCCTTCATCGTTCTCCACATTCTTTTAACATTTAACTATTTTGTGTGTTGGGGGATGGAGTACATGTACAGGCCAGAGGGCAACTTGTAGGTGTGAGTTCATTGCTTCTGGTGTGAGGTCCCAGGAACAGAACTGTAGTCATCACATTGGCTAATGCCTTTACCGACTCAGCTGTTTCTCCAGCCTATCTATCCTCCAAGGTCTTTCCTAAGGTAGGGTCTCTTACTGAATCTGCAGCTCATCTCTTGGCTAGGCTGGCCAGCCAATGAACTCCAGAGTCAACTCCCCTCAAATGCATCATGTGCACACTACCACACTCACCTTCTACATGGATGCTGGGGATCTGAAATCAGGCCCCCATGATTGTACAGTAGGCACTTTACCAACTGAGCCATGTAGGTCCCCAGGCAAACATCTACTACCATTTAAATTTTTTTTCCTGTTCACCCTTATCTCTCTCTGTGTGTGTGTGTGTGTGTGTGTGTGTGTGTGTGTGTGTGTGTGTGTGTGTACAAGTACTACACAAGCCACAGTGCTTATTTCATTTCTCTCCTTCTACCACCTGAGTTCTGGAGACAGACTAAGGTCATTGGGCCTGGTGGTAGCTCCTTTACCCACTGAACTATCTCAATCCCACTGAAACTTTTCCTTTTTAATAATACTTTCCTTGAACAAATATCACAAATTAATACACAATTACCTTGGTTTTATACAAGTGGAAAAACTTTTCAGTGTTTACATAAGTAACTGACTAGCGAATATTTTTTCTAAATATTCTAAATTAATTCTAAAATTATTTCCTACCAAATAAATAGACCATTGGATTCAATATAATTTAAAAGGCTTTAGGATAAAAGAGTACAGTTTTACTTTTTAATATATATTTATAATATTTTCTTCTTTATATAACTAAAGTAGTATAAACTTAAGGAGTTTCTTAACAATTATATATCAGTGATTTACAGCAAGTTGTTATTAGGTAACACTGCACATTCAATATTTATAAAAATGCAGATTGATAACCAACTTAATATTAATGATGGAAGAAAAACATCAGATCTCTTTTTAAACAGTGTTAAGCCTCTCAGCTAAGGAAAACCCATGATGCTAACTTCAGTATGTGAACTAAGCCCAGTTATCATTAGTTATTAGTGATGGTTAAACTGAAGAATCAACGTGCAAGTTACCATACTAATTTCTCTAGATTTGCACTTTCTTCTATTTTCAGTCTCTACCCTCCTTCAAGAAAACTGCATAAGGATTATATGTATTAAGTAGAGTAACAAACTTCTGTGTCTTTTCTAGATATGGTTCAAAGTATACAAATTTGAAAGATAAAATTTCCCTGGCAAAATACATTTTGAAAATATTTCCAATCACATACTGACAATCAGGATATTCTGAATGCAGTAAAAATAGCATTGCAGACCTCATCTACCCTAGTCATCTATTTACATGAAGCTCTATGGATCACACCTGAAAGATAACATGTAGAGGAACATGTATGTAAACACAGATGACTCACACTAAACAGACCCACACTCTTATGGTAGAATCAAAAGCCCAAACTGGTACTTACTCAGGCATTCTTTCAAAGCCAAAACTTGAACGCTGGCTAACTGTTTCTCCCTCTGTAAAATCTGTTCCTCAGAAAAACTTGGGAGTGATGAGAAGTCAAAAGGAAAACCTAAGAAATAAGAAAAAGTCAACATTAATGATATTCTATGCTAAGAATTAAAATTCAGCTCCTAGGAAGTGTGTTAGGACATGACTAGAAACATAAAAGCCAACCACTCACCTCTCTTGATGTTGCACATTTCAAAGTAACTATCAAACATGGGGAAATGAGCATACTAAATTGTTCTATATTTTAATCTTTGATCTGACTCTTATTTCCCTGAGGGATATGGGTACCAGGGTAACTTCACTACATAGTATTCTCTTTTGCCTACTTAGAAAACAAAACCAGAACATTTTCTCCTTTCTAAGTGCAGGTTCTCACAGTCCCCATAATGAGCCACAGGTTTACCTGTCCTCGTCCGTTCCGTTCTTTGCATAATGAATCTAGTATAAAACTACACAACAGTTCCAGAACTGCCGTGGCTGATCCAGGTTCATCCTCTTTTCTTCTTGTATACAGTTCTCAGATAATTAGAATGTGCAGGAAATGCACTATCAGAAGACACAAAGGAAAGCTTGGGTTTGCTCCTTCCTCACCTTTAAGGGAAGGCTACTCGTACTTTGTTTAGGGAGTCATGTGACCCCTGAAGCTTGTAACCCAGAAAAGGATGCCTTCGGGTATCCTCAACTGTGCTATACGTAGGACACAAGGACTCAAGACTCCATGTGCACCATACAGCTTAAGTCTTGGGAGGCTGGCTTGTGATGGATCCTGGGCTATTTCTGTCTCTCTGCTCCCTGTCTGTGAATAATATGCCATTGACACAGCCAATATATACACAAATGCACACACACACACACACACACACACACACACACACACACACACACACAAATGTAGAACTTAATATAGAACCAAATATGGAACTTAGAAAAGAGAAAGACAAACATCAATGAAGCAAAAGAGGCTTGAGAGAAAATAAATAGAAATAAAAAAATTTGAGTGTTGAAAGCAGTAGACACTAACAATTCGGCATCTGAAATTAAAAGCTAATAGCTAATCTTTACTTTGAATGTTGTAAAGGGATTAATTCTCTTCATTTTAAATTATAAAAAGGTTATATTAAAATCCCAGCATGGAGACAGGGAAGTGGATGCAAAGTCCCACCCCTAACCAAGAAGCTGTTTGCAGTTAATACCTGCCAGGAAAAGGAAAACCAGTTTTTTCTCTGGTGGAGAGTCACTGGGTATATCAACCACACTCCAGGGCAGGCCCAGGCCAGGCCCAGGCCAGGAGCAGTTTGCCAACACAAAACGGACTCCATGTTTGCTGTGCGCTTCTTGTTCTTGTTTGGTATTTTCCGCCTTATTGAGTTTTGTTTATTAGTTCTGATTTTCCTTTCTTTTTTTTGAGGCAGGAAGAGAAAGAACATGAACTTGGGTGGGTACGGAGGTACAGAAAGATCTGAGAGAAGTTAAAGGAGGGGACAGAACAGGACCAAAATATTTTATATAAAAAAATAAAAATAAAAGGTGAACTAATGGCAGAAATGGAGTTTCATTATTATTCCTTCCACTTACAACCACGTCAATTAATTAAAGTGTGGGGACGGGTCTCTTCCAGAGGAGAGAATACTTACTGCACTTGGCTTCCTCTGTCTCTGTTTTCATCCTCCCGTGAATGAACCGGAGTGCAAAGGAGCCGTTGATCTGGCTGGCCGAGTGAAGCAGTGTGGCCCTGCACTTGGTCCTGCCGTCGCCTTGCAGCAGGAGGTAATAGCTGGAGTACTCGCCTTTCACGTCGACATCTGGAACTGAAGAACAGTGATCTAGGTAAGAACGGGGAAACGCTGCTCATCACGTGGCAACTGTTGATCCCTAAGAGAGACCGACTGGACAGCTCCATGGTACCTGACGATGAAACAAAGCTGTCGCTCGATTCATCTGGGACCGTTTGGATGACCCATGTAGTGGAGAAGCTGCTGAAGCAGAAAGTCATGACAGCAATAAAAAGTATGGACTTTTTGTCCTGTCTAATCACTACGTACTCATTCTTTTGCTCCGATTTATTGAAGCTCCATAATAACTTTCTCATACAGATATGTCCATATTTCCAACGTGTGTGCGTGTGTATGAAATGCATGCATGTATGTGGGGTATATGTACTCATGTGGTATATGTGTGTGTGCATGTGTACATGTATGTGTATATGGATATATATGACGGCAAAAGTCCACATACGGTGTCTTCCTCAGTCGCTCTCCACATTATTTTGAGATAGTCTCTCTCACTGAACCTGGAGCTCACCCATCGGCTAAGCTGGCTGGCCAGTTAGCTTCAGGGATTTGCCTGTCTCTACATACTCTTCATTTCTTCTCCAAAGTAGAGTAAACTGCCACTTAGAAGCACACACAGCTCAACTGGGGAAAGGAGAAGAGAACAGAAAAACAGTCTTCCACTAGCTCTGTTTCCCTGAATTCAATCAACAACAGAAAAAATACTGGGGGGCAGGGGGAACATGTTCATTTAAACATGTACAGACTTCTTTTTTAATTACACAGCAACTGCATTATACAAGACATTGGAGGTAACCCAGCAATGCCTTAAAGTGCACAAGACAGTTTATTCTCTAACAAGTATAAAACAAGGACAATACAAGACAGCAGAACTGGAGTTCTGAAATAATGATCACTGACTATCAAAGAGGGCTTAGATGCTGTGGAACAGTCTTTGTTCACTGTAGATATGTACAACTCTCGTTGGTTAATAAAGAGCTAACTGCCTATAGCTGGGCAAGAAGAGATTGGGCAGGAGAGCCAGACTAGGAACAAACTGGAAGAAGGGCAGAGTCTTGGGAGTCTCCAGCCAGACACAGAGGAAGCAGGACATGTACGAAATGAGTTAAAAAGCCATGAGCCACGTGGTAGAACTTAGATAAGAAATACATATTAATTTAAGTTGTAAGGGCTAGTTCATTATAACCCTGAGCTATTAGTCGAGCATTTATAATTAAGTCTCTGCGTCAGTTTGGGAGCAGATGCAGAGACACAGAGAAACTCTGCCTACATTTAGATGCTGAACACTGAGCACCCTATACATTTCTTTCCCTGCACAATTTCCAGAATTTTGAAAACGAGATACCATAACTGAACTTTTCCTTTTTTAAATGTATTTGGGTGTTTGGCCTGCATGCATGCTTGTGCACTATATGATTTCCTGGTGCCTGTGGAAGCCAGAAGATGTGAGATCCCCTGTCCCTGAAGTTACAGATGTCTATGTTGGTGTTGAGAATAGAATCTAGGTCCTCTGGAAGAGCAATCAGGGCTCGTTTCTCTAGTCCCTAGAGGACTTAATTTGAACAGTAGAAAAACACACACTGCATGAAAGGATCTTTAACATAGTATATACATTATATACATACACCTATGCAAAAATGCTAAAACAAAATCAGCACAATAACAAGTCTATTTTACATACATGATCTGTGAATAAATGCTTATTCCTAAACAAGATGAGTATCAATTTCTGCAATTAGATTACAATGAAGACATCATTCCTATTCATAAACAATTCTTCTAGAAATGAATTTACATTAAGGTAATCAGAAGAGAAAAACAAGATTCTACCACAGGACAGAGCGACTTTAATTCATGGGTCATCTTAGAACTGACAGTTGAAGCTGCACGCGTCTCTCCACTACGTTCTGTGTTTGTATTAGCTTGTTTCTTTGTGAGCCCTGTAAACACTGAATTCTGCAATGACAGCAACTTCACTTTTCCCCAAAGAAAAACATTGACTTTAAAAACTCCCAACCACAACAACTACAGTCACTGAAAACATGTTGTCTCGGACTTTTGGCAGATGCTAATTGAAGACTAATTTAACAACTTTCATGCAAACTCTGCAGGAACTACCAGACTTACAATTAGCAGTTATTTAATTGTGATCACTCCTCCTAAAGAAGTGAGGGGGAACAGATTATAAAAGACAATCTCTACTTCCAAATGCTGTATTTGCGCAATCAATCAGTGAGGCAGTGGTTGGCTTGTATGCTCCTTCATCACGACACGAAAGTATTTTCACTACACAATACAGATAAAATGAGAAAGAAGAACCTACCAAGTGTCCATTCGTTGCATCAAATTTTACAAATTAACACAAACCATACTGAAGGTATGATATACTATGATTAGAAATCCATTAGCCAAAAAAATTACTATTTTTACAGTGCTGGAGTTAAAACCCAGGCCGAGTACATGCTAGGTAAGTGTTGTAACCACTGAGCTCCATTCTCTGACAGATTTCTATTGCAAAGAAATGAAGCCACCATCTTACATCAATAAGTTTCTTTTTTTTTTTTTTTTTTTTTTTTTGGTTTTTCGAGACAGGGTTTCTCTGTGTAGCTTTGCGCCTCTCCTGGAACTCAGTTGGTAGCCCAGGCTGGCCTCGAACTCACAGAGATCCGCCTGGCTCTGCCTCCCAAGTGCTGGGATTAAAGGCGTGCGCCACCACCGCCCGGCTATCAATAAGTTTCTTAGTGGGTTTTAAAACCTCCTAACACTCACATTTTGTTCACAGTTCAACAATACAAAAATAAAATTAAATCAATGTAAATGAGAAATAATATTTCATATTAATATAAGGGAAAATAAAAATATCTCAGACAACTGGGTAGGAGTATCCTGACACATTGACAATTATTTTAATATATTCTCTTTAAAAAATGAAAAATAATAAAAACAGCTATTTTAATCATGCCAAGTTCAAGGCCGGCCTAGTTTACAAAGTGTATTCCAGGATGACCAGGGCTACACAGAAAGACCCTGTATTGAAAATAAACTGTTGCTGGGAGTTTTTACTCTTTTTTCTTTTAGGGGCTCACCACCTAGCTTCCTAATAAATTACACACAGAGGCTTATTCTTAATTAGGAATGCCTGGCCTCACTTGGCTGGTTGCTAGCCAGCTTTCCTTAACTTTAAATTATCCCATCTACCTTTTGCCTCTGGGCTTTTCCCATTCTCTTACTTCTGTAAATCTTACTCTTTATCTATGGCTTGTTGTGTAGCTGGGTGGCTGGCCCCTGAAGTCCTCCTCTTCTGGTTCCTAGATCTCTCCCTCTCCCAGATTTCTCCTATTTATCCTCTCTGCCTGCCAGCCCCACCTATTTTTCTCTCCTGTCTTGCTATTGGCCGTTGAGTTCTTTATTAGACCATCAGGTGTTTTGGACAGGTACAATAACACAGTTCTACAGAGTTAAACAAATGCAATATAAACAAAAGTAATACACCTTAAAATAATATTCTACTACAATAAACAAAATAAATGAATAAATAAAAATAATCATGCCAAAATAAATATCAATATACAATCTAGACTTCAATGTAGGCATCTTAGGAAGCTATGTTCTTCATAGCAATGAAACCATTGTTTAGTTATAAACTCAATTTTGAAATAATTCACAGAGCCAAAGAGGAGGCCACAAATGCATGCATGGGATAACTTTTGCACACACATACATGCACTCATGTGCACGCACACACAACCTGCCCCCCACACACAAACGAAAAAAATCTAACTTTACATTTCTAACACCTTCCAAACACATACAGACAATACTGATCCCTCACCGTATCTCCCGATTAAGCTTTGAGCAAGTTAGCATACAATTTAGGTGTTAATTAGACTGTCCAAAAAAAAAAAAATCTTGTATCTCAGTTCTAGAATCTTAACTGATAGCTGTATTTACAACTATATGAAGCCTCCTACTGTAGAGATTACAAAACCAAGATTTACAAATTCTATCACAGCCATTTCAAATAAGTAACATCAGGTTCATAAGCTAAGTACATTTTCTTTCTATTACAACACCTAAAACATACGATTTGAAAGCAACAATGAATAGAAAATACATTCAGAGGCTATCCTAGGGCCTCCAATTATGAACAATGACTTCCTTATTGTTGTATAAGCACAGGAAGCATGTTGGCTCCTGCAAAATAGGGAAAGGATATTGCAGAGCTTACAAAGTGTTTATCCTCATTACCAGTGAGACTCAAGTTTGAGACCTACTTACTACTTAGGAGTTATCTTTCTCCAGGTAAAGGTTGAAGTCCCGAAACTCAGTTTCTCCATTCTTACTCTGTCTCCGAACACTTGAGTAATTCTCTTCAGTAACTGACACTCTTCAGCTGGGGCTGAAGCGTGCGCCATGAGGGATAGACACACATGTGAATGACACCACGTGCTTTCACGAGCGCGATGGCCTGTCCACTGACGCTGGATTGTTCTGGGCGCAGCCCAGCTCCACTTGTCTGTTTGACAACTTTTCTAACACTCAGCTGGTGCTGAGAATCACTGAACTACAGAGAAGAACAAAGCTCTACATTTACTTCAAAGGAGACTTCAGTGAGCCTTATCAAACAAACAAACAAAATCCTTCTGGGTGTGAGAACAGCACTGTGGGGTCTCACCCACTTCCTCCCATCCACCACCCTTCCCTATTAATCTCTTCCCCACATTTGATGTCTTTGGTTTTGTTTGCTTGTTTGTTTGTTTGTTGTCTCTCTAGGTTTGGCCAACAAGTCACTGGAACCCCATGAGTTTACCCAGCTGAAGGCTGTGGCTCCCCATCTCCCAGAGTCCCATCAGTGGCCAAAGATCCTCAGCAAAGGAAGGTTCAGTGATGCTTCCCCACCCATGACTGAACGTTGAGGGGGCTTGTCTTGAGCAACCCAAGCACAAGTAACTGCAACTGCTCAGTTTGTCAGTTTGTGACTACACGAGTTATGTTGTGTCTACAAGGTGGCTCTGCTGGGCTGGAGAGATGGCTCAGAGGTTTAAGAGCACTGGCTGCTCTTCCAGTTCAATTCCCAGCACCCACATGGTGGCTCACCATCTTTAATGAGATCTGATGCCCTCTTCTGGTGGGCAGGCATACATGCAAGGAGTACACTGTATACATAGTAAATAAGTCTTTTTTTTTTTTAAAAAAAAAAAAAGGGTTTTTTTTTTTTTCTGTCTTCCAGCTCAAACATTCTGTCTCTT